TTTTTTAAATGTCCTTTGAGGGGTTGAGGGGACTCTGACTTTTCCTGGTATGTCTGATGTTTTATCATAAAAAAATGTTAGATTTTGCCAAAAGCTTTTTTATGTCTATTAAAATGATTATATAGCTTTTGTACTTTATTAGTATGTTGTACTTAGTTAATTGTTTTACTTATTAAAGCGAGCTTGTAGTTCCCCTGTTATTAGGTTTTAATTGCAATTATAAACAGTTGCATCATTAAAACATGGGAAGTACTTAAAAGTAGAAAGCCAATTATCCACAACAGGACCTGGGTTTCAGGACAGCCAGGACTACACTGAACGTCTTGAAAAACAAAAAACAATAAATAAAGAGAAAGAGAGAGAGAGAGACAGAAATAATTCCACCGTAGATGAGGCATGGTAATTTATGTTGATAGCCCCAGTGCTCAGGAAGCTGAGGCAGGAGGATTTTGAGTTCCAGGCTAACCTGAGTGGCATAGTGAGGTTGTTTCAAAGCAACAAAATGAAACAATCCCACATGAGCACATGACAACTGAATGTGTGTTGGTTAATTTGGGCTGTCCACTTGAATTTGATTAAGAAGCCCTCAGAGGGGAGCTGGAGAGATGGCTCAGTGGTTAAGAGCATTGCCTGCTCTTCCAAAGGTCCTGAGTTCAATTCCCAGCTCACAGATGGCTCACAACCATCTGTAATGATGTCTGGTGCCCTCTTCTGGCCTATAGGCATACAAGCAGACAGAATACTGTATACTCTGGGAGACGGCTCAGTAGGTAAGAGCACTTGCTGTAGAAGCATAAGGGTTTGAGTTCAAGTAGCCATCTTCCCCAACAAGTCAAGTCTGACTGCCATCTCGGTAGCCCCGCTTTGAGGTGCAGAGCCAGAATGGCCTAGGAGCTAACAGGGCACCTAGCCCAGCCAAAAGGGCAAGCTTCAGGTTCAGCGAGATAAACTATCTGGGAATGAAGAGAAAGTGGAAGAGAACATCTTTCTGTGGCCTCCACACAAGTGCACACATGTACCACTAACACCATCCCCATACACATGCAAGCTACCACCTAGGGGATAATAATACCCACCTTGGACACAAGTAATACACATATATCAAAACTCATCAAGACCTCTTTTTGTGGGGGAGGGGGTTCGAGACGGGGTTCTCAGTAGCTATGGTGCCTAGCCTGGAACTCACTCTGTAGACCAGACTGGCCTCGAACTCACAGAGATCCACCTGTTTCTGCCTCCTGAGTGCTGGGATTAAAGGTGTGTGCCACCACCACCCAACTTCATTAGACCTCTTAACTGCTAAGCCATCTCTCCAGCCCCTCATTAGACTTCAATAGTATTATTAAAGAGATTTTGATGAACTGGGGATATAGCTCAGTAGTTTCCCCCCTCCATACACACACACCAGCATACAGAGAGACTGAGTTCTATCCCTAGCACTGCATAAACTGGGTGTGGTGGTTTATGCTTGTAATCCTAGCATTTGGAGAAGAGACAGGAGAAAGAAACATTCAAGGTCGTCCTTGACTACGTAGTGAGTTTGAGAGCAGCCTGGACTACATAACACCCTCTCCCATTCAAAACAAAAGAGGATTCTGTTGAATGAGTATAATAGTTGCGTGCTTCCAGTCCCAGTTTCACACACACACACACACACACACACACACACACACACACGCACTTCAACCGATCTTTTTTGGTACAGCCGAGCTGGCATGTTTAACGCACACTGCAAGCATCGTCCAATCACAGCATCCTCTCCACCTCTCGGTGAATCCCTATTCCGTTGTTATTTCCTCCTTATTGAAACAGTCCCCGTTGGAGACAGGCAGGAGACTTTCCAGAAGGTAGTAAAACTTACAAAGCTCAGGGAACTGAGAAATTTTTACCAGATTCACAAGGGCCCTCCCAAAAGGTTATCCCAGCCATGGGTTGCTGGTAAGGGAGGAAGCTGTCCCGTGGTACTGCCTGCCAGGTGTGTGTGGGTAACTTCCCTGGGTTGTCACCCAAGCTGGGCTGGGCTTTTTGTGATTCAGCTGCCTTGAGTCACCTTATGCTTCTGCATGTCACCCCCAGTAAACTCACGGTTCACTAAGTTAGTCTTGACAGTATTTGCTCACTTGGCTGGTGCTTGGTGTCCTGTCTAGGGAATAGGCTCTTATTTACAGCTTTCCTGGAAAGATCACACAGGAGCTGCTGGGCCCACTTCCTGGCGTTGGCTTTCCCAGGTGGTTTTCCTGTGGTAGCCAAATGGCTGTGGTCCATGCCAGCCTCACATTTACCTGCCGCACCTCTCAGAGCGAACAGGTTTCTTTCCCCGAGCCATGAGTGAGTCAACCACACCCCTGCTCCATACCTGAGCAATTCTCTACTCATCTTCAACACCTGACTCCTAAGCAGAGAAGCAAGAATGAGATGTACTAGGGGGAAAACGTATGTGCAGAGTGGTCAGTGTGGGAAAGGTTGGTTGGGTGAAATAAAGCGGTCTTCTTGAACCCAATGCTTAAGCTTTAGGAGCTGTTAAGATGTAAGGGTGTGGGCTGGAAAGATGGCTCAGAGGTTAAGAGCATTGCCTGCTCTTTCAAAGGTCCTGAGTTCAATTCCCAGCAACCAACCACATGGTGGCTCACAAGCATCTGTAATGGGGTCTGGTGCCCTCTTCTGGCCTGCAGGAATACACACAGATAGACTATTGTATACATAATAGATAAAATAAATATTTTTAAAAAATGTAAGCGTATACCATACTGGAAATATGAAAAGCTCAAGGGCTTTTAAGAGTAAGTGTGTATGTGTGTGTGTGTGCGTGCATGCACACACATAGAGGCCAGAGAACAACTTGTGGGAGTCAGTTCTCTCTACCCATGTGCATCCTGGGGACTGAACTCTAAAATGCCTAAACCTGCTGAACCACCTCATGCTGTGGAATATTAGCTGAAGATGTGTTTCATTTGTTTATGCTGTGGAATATTTGTTTAATGATGCAAAGATATCTTGTGTGCTTTTATGTTACATTTGTTTAACTCTGTGAAGCAGTCTTTCTTTGCCTGTCTAAAACACCTGATTGGTCTAGTAAAGAGCTGAATAGCCAATAGCTAGGCAGGAGAGAGGGATAGGTGGGACTGCCAGGAAGAGAGAATAAACAGAACAGAGAAGAATGGAGGAGCGAGAAAAGGAAGAGGAGGATGCAGGGGCCAACTACACAGCCACACATACAGCCAGGAGTAAGAAGGAAAGAAAGGCGTATATAGAAAAAGATAAAAGCCCAAAGAAAAAAGGTAGGTAGGATAATTTAAGTTAAGAAAAGTTGGCTAACTGGGCAGTGGTGGTGCACACCTTTAATCCCAGCACTAGGGAGGCAAAGGCAGGCAGATCTCTGTGAGTCTGAGGCCAGCCTGGTTTACAAGTGAGTTCAGGACAGGCTTCAAAGCAACAGGGAAACCCTGTCTTGAAAAAAACAAAACAAGGGCTGGAGAGATGGCTTAGAGGTTAAGAGCATTGCCTGCTCTTCCAAAGATCCTGAGTTCAATTCCCAGCAACCACATGGTGGCTCACAACCATCTGTAATTGGGTCTGGTGCCCTCTTCTGGCCTGCAGGCATACACAGACAGAATATTGTATACATAATAAATAAATAAATAAATATTTAAAAAAACAAAACCAAAAACAAAACAAAACAAAAAACAAAAAAAGAAAGAAAAGAAAAGCTGGCTAGAAGCAAGCCAAGCTAAGGCTGGGCATTCATAAGAAAGAATAAGTCTCTGTGTGTTTACTTGGGAGCTGGTTGATGGGCCCCCAAAGAGTAAAACAAACAAACAAAAAACAACTATATTCAGACTAGCCCATGATCAAGGTCTTAAAACAGATACAACGAAGTTTCTTTCTTTGTTAGTCCTTTTGAACTCCCCTGTTGCACCCTCTCTCCCTCATCTAATTCCTGTGTGTTTTAGAAAAGCAACTGAGAAAACCTTTACTGAGGGTTTGATGCATCCTAGCAGCACAAACAAGAGACTAACACTCTTCAGAACAGGTCAGCATGGTTCCTCCAGATACTAGAGGCCGGAAGCGATGGGGTATGGCGCTAATCCAAGAAGAAGGGGGGGAAAGTGGAACGTTTTGAGGGAGGGAGAAAAATCCCAACAAGATCATTTCAAAAGAAGTTAGATTATCTTGTCCAGAATGTGCTGTTACCAAGTGTAAAACTCCACTGCTTCCGTCCCCGCACTCTACTTGCTACATGCTATGGGATCTAGGCTGAAAATTTTAAGACAGACAGACAAACAGACAGACAGACAGACGGGGCCACAGGGTCATCCTTGAGACAAGAATGCCCACTTTATTGTGCTCACGGGCAGCTTATGTAGGGTTCTGGCCACACTCCAGTTCTCGGGATCGTTCAGCTACAGACTCATCAGAACCCACTCCCCTGCCATCAGGGTCTCGTGCTCTGACTCGTGCTCAGAACAGCTGCAGGCTGCTCAGAGCAGAGGGAGACAAGTTGTTTACAAGAAATTCAGGGTCTGGTGGTCCGCAGTCCCCAACAACCAAGTAAGCCTCGAGTTTGAGGGAGAGGAGGGGAAATCTTTGAAAGATTCTATAATACTAAGTGAAGAGGGCTGGGCGGTAGTGGAGCACACCTTTAATTCCAGCACTCAGGAGGCAGAGACAGGCAGATCTCTTTAAGTTCCAGGCCAGCCTGGTCTGCAGAGCAAGCTCCAGGACAGACTCTGAAGTTACAGAGAAACCACACTTTGGAGAAAAAAAAAAAGTGAAGAGAAACGGCACCTTTGCCTTTAAACTACTCTTTATGGCCGTTCTTATTGCTCTACTTGTTCAGCTTTTGAGTCAGAACCTTGTGTTGCTTAGGCAGGCCCTGAGGATTCCTCAAAGTCCTGAGGGATCTGCCTCCACCTCCCTATTCCTGATATCACAGGCCTGGCTAGCTATGCATCTCTTACAGGAAAATTCCATCATCCCAGGAAATACACAGAGCACATTACCTAGAAAGAACATTCCTTCCTTGTGACTTTCCTTTTTTCCAAGGGAGGAAAGATTTGTTTTGTCTCATTGTGAGTATAGTCCATCTTGTCAGTGTGGTAGCTGACGGCTCAGGGATGGGGACAGAAGCACAGGAAGCCAGTTCACGTCTCTGTGGACCTGGAAGCAGAGAGAAGCTATGGCTTCTTGTTGTTTTTAATCTTAACGCATTTTTGGGATACCCTATTGACATTTGCTTCACGTATATAATATATACATATATTATAATATATGTACATTTTAGTTTAAAAAGTTTTTCTATGCTGGGAATTGAATCCAGGGCCTCTTGTATGCTAAATGCCTGAGCAACAAGCCCACCTCTCTGGCACTTTAAATCGATAGCATATGGTATTCTTGGAACAAGTATGGTTGTATATGAGTCCTCTATCACTATTAATGCTATTTTAAAAGATTTGTTTATTTTTATAGGTATGCCTTCATGCACATACATGTAGCACAAGCATTGGTTGTTGCCTTGTCAGTCAGAAGAGGGCGGAGGAGCCCCTGGGACTGATGTTGCAGATAGCTGTGAGCTATCTGCTGTGAGCTGTCCTGGATTCAGTGAATCCAGATCCTCTGCAAGAGTAACAAGTTCTCCTAAAAGGATCCATCTCTTCAGCCCCTATCAGCACCTTTTTCACAGAACGAATTCTCAGTGTATCCTATCAGAGTTTCCGTCCCCCATACAGTCAGTCACAGCAGACTTCCACTGACTGCTTTAGGATAGTGATTTCTTCAAGATGATGGTCTCAGCTACTTTAGCAAATTGAATCAATGCAGATAGTTACCATACTTACCATAGCGAACTTAGAGTGTATTTTTAAGATTTGGGCAAGAAACAGTCTATCACTAGTGCTGTGTGTAACAGCAATGAAAAATTGCTGAGCATCTCCTAGCCGTCCCTCTGACATGGTCAATATAACGGCTATCTGTTGTTTGCACCGATACAGCATTCTTTTTTGTGACATTGCCCCTCACTCATCTCTTCCAATTTGGAAACCACTGGCCTCAAATTGGCGGTAAGAATACAGACACAAAACTCAGATGGATGCTGAGAACATTCTGTTCCAGAAACGTAGGTGGACGTGTTGTGTTCTTTCACAAGGGCAAAATTTATTGAATAATAATAAACTCATGAGCTACAATGGTTTCATTGGCTTCCATCAACCACATGGCCTTAATTTCTCTTGATAGTTGGGTGTTATCAGACACCAGTTCTTCTATTCCAATCTTTTTTTAAAAATTCATTTATTTTTGTTTTATGTGCACTGGTGTTTTGCTGCTTGCATGTTAGTGTGACCGTGTCACAGATCTTGGAGTTACATACGGTTGTTATGGAGGTGCTGGGAATTGAACTCAGGTCCTCTGGAAGAGCAGTCTGTGCTCTTAACTGCTGGGCTATTTCTCTAGTCCTTTCATTCATTCATTCATTCTTTTTTTCTTTTCTTTTTCTTTTTGGTTTGTTTGTTTGTTTATTTCGAGACAGGGTATCTCTGTAGCTTTGGAACCTGTCCTGGAACTAGCTCTTGTAGACCAGGCTGACCTTGAACTCACAGAGTTCCACCTGCTTCTCTGCTGGGATTAAAGGCATGCGCCACCACCACCCGGCTCCAGCCTCTTTTCTATTTCAATTTTAATTACTAATATTGGTGCTCAGATCAAATATTGAATGGTGAACACACACACACACACACACACAGGCTACAGAATGACTGTAACAGAGTTAAATAGGCCGTGATGGATTTCAAGGAGTTCAAAGAGGTAGAGGGAAAGATGCAAAAAGACTCACCGTAGTGGTTAGAAAAGATGCTGAGGTCTTGGCAGTAAAGCTGCTGGAGGTATACAGTGTTGCTATACCACCATCGGGTTAAGCCTGGACCACAGGCTTCAGTGGAGCTGCAGAGGCACAGGACTTAGGGAATCAAGGTGCGGGACCGGCTCCAGATACACAGATGGATGAATGACCACTGGTCAAGTAAGCCTCATCAAGCAGAGGGAATTGCAGAGAGCAGAGGCCCCGAGGATAGTCAGGAACTCACCAGCGTGCTTCCGCGTGCTGTTGCCCCTGCCTGTTTACGCCAGGTCCGGTCTTAGCACAGAAAGAAAAGTTGTTTGTTTTGCTTTGCTTTTGATGCTGGGTTGGAACCCAGAGTCTCCACATGCTAGACGAGTGCTCTCACACTGAGCTAGAAACGGCAACCTCCAGTAGGTTTCGAAGCGGTCCTAACGAAAGCGGTCTTTCCAGGGGCCATGCCGTTATAAGGTGAAAACCAAACCAAAACAATTGGAAGGGAGCCTGTGTTCATTAATCTTTGCCAACTTAACACAAACTAGAGTCACCTGAGAGGTCAACTGAGGTTCTCCATCAGACGTCAGGCATGCCTCGTGGGACATTTTCTCGATAATGATTGATGAGAAAATGCCAGCCTACTGTGGGGTGTGCCCCTCCAGTGCAAACACTCCGGGGCTGTGAAAGAGAGCAAGCCGAGCCAGCCATGGAGAGCAAGTCAGTATGTAGTGTTCTTCCATGGGCTCTGTTTCAGTTCCTGCCTATAGCGCTGCCCTGCATTGAGTTCCTCTCTGGCTTTCCTCAGAAATGGACTGTTACCTAAAAGTGTTAAGATGAAATAAACCCTTCCCTCCACAAGTTGGTTTTGGTCAGTTTTTTTTTTTTCCCTATAGCAAGAGAAAGTACCTAAATCAGATGCCAAACCAAGGGTAGGAACATATTCCCAGGGCCATTATAAGAGCACCTGAATCCAGTCTGGTGAGATGAGCCAATAATGAATCTCTCCTATACTTAATCCAATTTGAATACAGTTTCAAAAGTCACTACTCTGAATCTCTGGAGCCAGAAGCAAAAGTCCACTTCCTGAAGCTGATCTCAGATGGTTGCAACATTTAGCTGGCTGAGTGCCCACAGGAAGCCCAGGGTGGCAGCTTGGGGTGTGGTGGTTGGATAGGAAGCTCTGAGGTGCATCAACAGCAAAGAAACACAAGAGCAGAGACCTGCCATTGAGACAAGCTCTGGCTCATTCCCAGAGCACATCTCTCACCTCAGAATTCCTATTGTCAATGCTTTATACGGCACAGACTAAAATCGCTCTACAGCTTGCTCAGTGTGCACCCTCTAGATGTGTAATCAGGAGGAACCATTTATCCCTCCTAAAGTCTCACATTTACATGCAATCATTTCTTTACATAGCCCAGTCCGGATGATGATGCACATAAGGAGACCAAAACAAGGCCCAGTGATGCTTGTCCTGCTTCAGGAGATGCAAATGTGGTACTGAGAGTGGAGCCTGAAATCTAAGGAGGACAGTAATCTCTTTCCTTGGCTTATTATATTAGGGTAGGGATAATGGAAAGGGAAAAGGCTAGCCCATCCCTTGCAAATCAAGTCTGAAGGCAGGCCTGGTGTTGTATCCCTGTAATCTCAGCAGTTGGGGAGGCAGAAGGGTCGGGAGTTCAAGGTCATCTTTGACCATAAAGATCTAGGGTTATCAAGCGAATTCAAGGTCTGCAAGGGATGCATAACACAGAATTTAAAACAAACAAATAAATAAATAAAAGGCTAAGGTTATGTCTCAGTCTACTAGCAAGTGTGACAAATTGAGTTCTTTCTTCAGAATTCTCTCAGCATTTCCAGCTCAGTGCTGAGTTCTTGTAATGCCAGCACTGGGAAGCCAGACACAGGAGGACTCATGAGGTTCAATAGCCAGCCCGCCTAGCCTAATTTATGACCTCCAGTCCCCTGTCTAGCTGGGCACACGCTTTAATTCTACCATTCAGGAGGCAGAGGCAAGCGGATCTCTGTGAGTTCGAGGCCAGCCTCGTCTACAGAGTTCCAGGACAGTGAGGGCTACAGAGAAAAACCCGGTCTTAAAAGCAAAGCAAAGCAAAACAAACAAAAAAAGAAAGACCCCCATCTTAAAGGAGGAGGACAGTGTTCCTGAGGATGACACCCAAAGTTACCCTCTGACCTCCATACACATGTACACCAGCACACTCATGAACACATACACACACAGAAACACCCTGAAGGTTTCCTGAGAGTAGAGACCTTGCCTATCATTGTGACAACTAATATGATAGCTAACAAAACAGTATTTATTGATGAATGAATGGCCAAATGGATAAATGAATGAATGAAGCATGGAGGACTTGGGAATCGAGATTGCCTCCCAGCTCTGAACTTCCCATCTTTGTGTCTTTTATTTTGTTTTATACAGAAGCAGCTGACTTCAAAAGGCTCCTTTCTATCCTGTGAGTCTTTTGCGGTCTCACTGATGAGGCAGAATAGAAAGACAAGGAAAACTAAGGGACGTGAGGAAGGGAAAAAAGACCTTGCTCTGGAACCTAATTTGTTGTTCTTGTTGATGGACAGTCAAGATAGAATTGCCTGTAGAGATAATGCAGATTTTCCTAAAGCCACCTCAAACAAGGTATTAAAAACATCAAATGAGCTCTGTTCTGAATATTTGTAACCCCAAATCTGCCTGTATTAGCACTCTCCTTACCCCTAAATTTAGACAGTATACCTCATTAGACCACAAAATAAAATTCTTTTTTAAATTCATTTTTATTGTGGTGTGTATGTGTGCATGTGCATGCTTGCGGGTGTGCAAGTGTGTTCTCACACCATGCACACGCAGGCGCCTGTATAAGTAAGAGAAGGTGCTGAATCCCTGGGCCTGGAGTCAATTCCCAGCTCCATGAAGTTCGTGTGTTCCACTTCATACACGTAGGAATTGAGTCACAGAGAGTTAGACTGCTAAGTCACAAGGTTTGTGAGCGCTGGGGCTGGGTCTTCAATCCTCCTGGATTTGACAACGGAGTTCTTGTTTGTGACCACTCACTCTCTGAGAATTCCAAAGCCATGTGACACAGGCCATCTGATCTTACAGGGACGATGAGCTTCAAGGAAAGCGTCACAGCTGAAGTGACTCGAGCCATCTTGGAAGACAAGGGGAGCTGAGTTCTGGTACCGAGCATGAGACTTTGCATATAAGTTCTGTAAAATGAAGAGCAGGAGGTAGCTTGTGGATCTGGAAGGGATGATTTTCCTGCTTTTGTGGAGTCCAGGGTGTTTCCCACTGAAGAGTCCTTTTTGGCATTTAGCAACGGCCTATTGAGTAATCACATCCTTTGTGTATTATATCATGTACACACAACAGTCTAGCAAGAGACAAAGTGCAGGAATTAACCTCAGATGGCGAGTGAGGCAATCAGAGCTGTGTGTGTGACTCCTTTAAGGCCACAAGTGGTGAGTAAGTGGCAGAACAAGATAAGGAGCTGGTGGTGTCCTGTCCTCAGGAGGAAGGGACAGGCTCTTCCCGGGATCCAGGCTCTGTTCTGCCCAGCTCGGCACATGTGCTGCCGTGGGTCCTTCCCTCCGGAACAAACTCCCCTGTACATTCAGAACCGGTTTTATGTCCCACCCACCCTTCAAGGTCCAGCTAATTGCACACCTTTCGTCCAAGACTTTTCCACATTCTCTCAGTCCACTATCTAAGTGTCAATCAAATAGCTTAGCTCTTTTTTTCAACCAGATTTCTGTCCTGAATACCTCCACCGCCTGTGGTAGTTTGATTTGTTGCTGTCATCCAACGTCCCATTTTGAAATTCCTATTGCCTATTTCTTCTTCTCCTTCTTCAAAAGTTTTCCCTTTTATTTTAATTTCACCCTAAAATTTTCCTTTATGTAGGTATATCCCTTGAAAACAAAAATTTTAAATTTTTGTTTATTTATTCATTTTGAGACAGAGTTGCTCTGTGTAACGGCCCTGGAGCTCATTCTGTAGACCAGGCTGACCTTGAACTCACAGAGATCTACCTGTCTCTGCCTCCTGAGTGCTGAGATTAAAGGTGTGCATCACCACCACCCAGCAAAGAATTTTTTTATATATATTATATGTCTGAGTGTTTTGCCTGCATGCATGCCTTTGCAGGGCATCAGCTCACCTATATAGATGCTTATGATCAGTCAGTGGTTTCAGGTACTCAAATCCGCATCTCCTGGAAGAGCAGCCAATGCTCTTCAATACTGAACCATCTCTCCAGCCCCGTATCTTGTTTCCCAGTGGAGTGTAAGCTTCACGAGGCAGACACTTCTTTGTGGGTGGGTGTGTGACATGACAGTCAGATGTCAACGTTTGGGTGTCTTCCTCATCCATTCTCCACTTTATTTTTGAGGCAGAGTCTTTGACTGAACTTGGAGCTTACCAATTCAGTTAGACTGGCTGCCAGATACCTCTAGGAATCCTCCTGGCTCTGTGTCCTGAGCACTGGGAGTTTAACAAGATGCTCAGAATCCGAGCTTAACTCCTCACGTTTTCCTGGCAGTCTTCCATTGATTGAGTCATTCCACCCCCTCATATTTAAGGCAGGGACTCATATATCCCAGGCTGACCTGGAGCTGGTTTATAGCCAAAGGTTGTCTTGAACTCCTGATACTCCTACCTCCACCTCATGAATGCTGGCATTATACCCATGCTTGACTTAAAGGCATACAGAGCTTTAAAAGGAAAACAAATAAAACTTTTTAAAATGATGTATTATTTTACGTCTCTGAGTGTTTTGCCTGCACGTATGTATGTGCACCAAGTTCATGCCTGTTGCCCTCAGTAATCAGCATAAGACTTTGGATCCTCTGACACTCTGAGCCACTATGTGGGTGCTGGGAATCAAATCCAGGTTCTCTGTATAAGCAGGAAGTGCTCTTAAGTGCTGAATCCTCTCTCCAGGTCCCATATAGTTCTTTCTAATTACCGTAGTTCTTTCTAATTACCGTATTCACTTTGGGATCAGAATGCTTGTGACTCAAAAGTAGTTCTGTGCTCTCTCCACTTTCTGTTAGACTGGTCCTCCCCTAATTCGAACAAAACAAATACATTGCCAACTCATTTCTAAAAGCTCCAGGGGAGTAGGGGTTGTGTGATGTTGGGGTTCACATAGATGCATTCAGCAATTAATAATAACAAACACTTACTAATTGCTAGGTCCTGCACAAAATACATCACATGCATTAACTCATTAGATTCTCTTATGGCAACTATTATTATCCCCCAGAGCAGAGGAAGACACATAGAGGTCACACAGCTAGTAGGTGAGGCAGCAAGAATTTAAACCTAGACTGAGTCATACTCTTAATCACGACACTAAAAATTTATGGGTAACTAAAGTTCTCTGTAATGCTGTAATGTGGAACAATTTCTTTTCTTTTGCTAGTGGTCTGGATTAGATATTTTGATAGGTGCACAACACTTTACTAATGTAATTCTTGCAAATGAGTCTATAAAGCAGGAAGAATTTTAAAAGAAGTTGGCTCATAAAGTCGTTAACTCCAAATTTCAGTTCCGGTTATCAGAAGATCTGAAAATAGATCAGGTCTCCTGACTTTCAAGGAAAGTCTTCAGAGGAAACTGTATAGGGGAAACCCGGATAGAAACAAGCGATGCGCACTCGAGACGTCAGCGTAGCGCACGGTGAGGAACGGTGAGAGACAGTCAAAAGGGCTATTCTATTAACACCCACAGAGGAATTTGCTAATGAAGTAAGGGAGCTGCCTGTCTAGGGCTTGGATTCAATCCGAGAACCTCTAGGGAGAAAGGGCACAGAGGGCAACCACCACCTGTGCAGGAGAACCGGGAACCGGCTCTGGAAATGGGCTCAGCCCGTCTCTTCCTCCATACGCTAATTGGCTGCTTCTTTCCGGGCTCCGCCTCCTCCTCAGTCTGGACCATTAGGCAGCAAAGCTCCACCTACGACCTGTCTAGGGCTCCAATCAAGTGCCCAGCTCTCGAGCTCCTCCGAAGAAGCCCCCTTGACGCTAGCAAGCCGCTTTTCTCTCGCTCTTGATTGGTCAGAAGCAGCATGAAGTCCGCCTCCCTAGCCTTTGGATTGGTCGGACGCCATCAGGCTCCGCCCCGCGGTCACTCCGGCTACCCGGCTTCGGCGAGTCTGGTCTTCTCCGCTGGCCCCGCCCTCGCGTGACGGCCGGACCGGGAATTGGCAGCGGCGCTGCAGCCATTTCCGGTTTCGGGGAGGTGGGTGCGGTGTGGAGCGGGAGTTGGCGCCGCAGCCGCCTCCAGAGCCTGCCGTGCTACCGGGTGCTGCCGGGACGATGCGGCCGGAGCCTGGCGGCTGCTGCTGCCGCCGCCCGCTGCGGGCGAACGGCTGCGTGAAGAACGGGGAGGTGAGGAACGGGTATGTGAAGAGCAGCACCGCCACTGCCGCGGCTGCCGGCCAGGTACGACGGGACCGAGAAGCCGGGCGGGGCCGGGGCTATGGGT